TTGGTTGTCACTAAAATCAGAGATCTTGAAAAGTCAATCAGCTGCCATTGCATCAATAACATTTTCTAACTCAGTCAAAATGAAACTTTAGAAATTGTCAGAGCTAGAAGAATGAATTATTCCAGCAGCAGAATATAAAAGTGATCACAGAAAGAGAAAATAGTATAGGTTTTTGTGGTGAATGTTGATTCATCTTTAACTATATGAAACCTCTTTTTCCATTTTATTKATCATAATACCATATACAGTTTAAATGCAACTATTCAACCTTTAAAATGTTTACTCATTTAAGACATTATCACTTTAACTGGAGACATTGTTTAACTTTCAAATGTTAAAAAATATCAACACGGGGTCTCCACTAGGAGATAAAGCTAATAGAGGTAAGAKCACCGGGGATGACACCACATCTGAAAAAAATGCAGTTTTTACAAGAAACAATTTTGTTTATATTTTGCAAGTGACAGCATGTGGGAAGGCAGTAATAATACCAAAACCATAGCAAAAAGCAAAAACCCAGAAGGTGCAAGGCCAAAACCCAGGATTGACCTGGGGAGTCCCAAATCACACTCCACCCCCACCCCTGTGCTGTGGCTACATTGTAGCTTACAACTATCATTGTGTGACTGTGTGTCAGTGCCATCAAGGTCTGCAGAGGCCTACWAATACTCCTTAGGTTCAGCTGTGTTGAACCAGGACAGCTCCTAAAACATGCAGGACACCAGCYCTGAGGACTGACTTTGGACACCACTGGTTTAGAYAGMCTATGATGCAATGTCAAAATTATTTTTATATGTACAYTATTGTCATAACAACTGAAGGTAACAGTTATCTGATTGTGGATTAGAATTGAACTGTGTGCCTGAAAAATACATAATACCCCACTTTAAAACAGGATTTTCACATATTTTGTACGATTGTTTAGCTTTGCTGTTAACTTGGCTACATTGTAAATAAGAATGATCCATTAATGTACTTCTGAATTTAAAATAAATAATTAAATTACTCTGATGTCTTGTATGAATTGTTTAGGTATGATTCTCACTACTTTAGAAACGTTAGGGTGCATTTGCACAAAGTATCAGTATCRGATCAGCATCATCGATACCAGCCTGAGCTTTGTTCTGTATTACGAATTATTTTGGTTAGGGGTTAGGGTTAGGTGACAAACTCTGAGCTCAGTTTTTATATTACTTCATAGTCATTAGTGTATAGTTTTATTTTTCCCGTCATAAACAATATTTACTTTATTATGTGTAAAATGACTGTAACTTTCCTACTGTTCTAATACCGGGTATAGCCTGAACAAAGAGAATGGAGGGAGATGTCCTGACTTTATGACTTGGTTCTGCATATTGAGGTCATRTGACATGCAGGAAATACCTGCTGTTCATGAACACACAACAGATATAGGTCAAAGTATAACTAGCGTTCTGTCATCGGCCATAAAGAGATGTAGAGAGTTTCTACAAACAAAGCCACAGTCTCGTTGAACTGATTTGGGAAAACCACACTGGTCACCTGACGAGACAGTCGCTCTGCAGTAAAACTGAAACAACTCCTGATGTTACTGTTGTCCACACACAGGACAGAGTTCTCTCTCTGAAGTCATGAGGAAATAAAAGTACAGCCTCTTTCAGTTCTAGGGTTTTTACAAATCAAGACACAATAAAGATAATTTGGTCTTTGTTGGGTCTAACGAATGTTCAAATATAACCACAAGTGTACAAAAATACTAGGGGTGCAACAATACGTGTCCCCGTATCGAACCACATCGAACCGTATCGAACCACATCGAACCGTATCGAACCGTATTGAACAGTGCTGTATCAAAACAGGGGTAGACATAAGGATATTTTTCAGGTTGTCCGGCGGACAACCTGTTGACAAAACCTGGTTGTCCGCAAAACATTTTGGTTGTCCAAAAGAACCTCAAGAAAAATGTAGTTTAACAAGTATATTGTTCTGTAGACAAAGTTTATTATTACTGAATGTATAATTGTTCTCAGTCAGCCAGGTTGACAGGATCTACATGAATATAACTTCCTCATTCTCTTCTTTGAAATAGAGCATTTAAGGCTCAGGGAGTAAAGCAGTAAAAATGTTGATAAAACCTAGAGGTTACCCAACATTCATAAACTTCTTTCTGCTCATAGGTCAAACATTTTCACCTAAATAGGAGTTTACTGTGTACATGACCTTATTAAAAGTTACAGTTTAGTGTTCTGTTCAGCTTTACCAAGTTTTTTCTCCCTTTCATTTTTACAAATGGACACCTGCAGCAGAGAACTTTAATCAAGATCTTTTTTCTTGGTAGTCCACTGGACAACCAGGAGACAGGATCTGGTTGTCCGAAATGAAAATAGGTTGTCTTGGACAACCTAAACAATGGTTATGTCTACCCCTGCAAACAATACAGATTTTAAAAATTTACTTTATCAACTTGTCTTCTGAAGATGCTCTGTGTTGAAGGATCAGTGGATCTGTGTTCGACKACTCCACCTAGGCTGTATTGTTGAGCGCAGATCCACTGAGAAACTTGCTGTTTCAGCAACATTTAACTAAAAAAACTGTACTTTTGAGGTTAAACAAATGTTCATAATTAATATAAATAAATTACAAGTTAAAAGGGGCATGGAAATTTCTCTTTTTTGTATCGAAAAAATATCGAACCGTGAGACTAAGGTATCGAATCGAACCGAACCGTGAATTTCCTGCATCGTTGCACCCCTAAAAAACTACCACTTTCAATAACACTGTGTCATTTCCTGAAGAAAAAAAAGAGAAATAGAGAAGCTGTCCAGAAAATTTTAATCTACCACTGCTACTTTCAAAAAACTTTAGGAGGGAAACTATCAAACAGGTGCTGCTGATCAAATGCATTCGAATAACTGATCATTAAACATGTGAACACCTTTAGAAAAGCAGAAGTTTTAGCAGTTCCCCTTTTAAACCAAGCTGGTGTGAAAAATACATAACCTAAGAAAAGCAGCCATGGAAAGGGTTAAAGGCCATTTCTGAAAAAAATTGTAGTTCATCATTTTACAGTGAGAAAGATTATTCACAAGTAACAAAAAATAAATAAACAAATAAATAAAACATTAGSACAGCTGCCAAGCATCCCTAGAGGAGAATGTCTCAGCTCACCTCGAGGTCAGGCTGTGCAATGCTCAGAGAAATTGCAAACATCCTAAAAGTTGCATCTCAGACTCCACAAGCCTCAACAGGACAAATGTTAAAATTCACAACACAAAGATTAAATCAAATACAGCTTGCATGGAGTGGCTGCCAGGAGAAAGTCTATTCTCTCTAAACAAATATGGTTGAACAACTCGTTTATCGAGTTGAATCTGAATGAACCACAAAACCTCTGGGACAATGTCCTTTAGGACGAAGACMGCAAAGAAAATATGTCTGACCATAATGTTCAGTGCAACGTTTGGTGAAAACCAAGCATACAGAGCAAGTAACATCATCCCAACTGTCAAACACAGTGGTGGAGGGCTGATGACCTTGGAGTCATTTAGTCAAGCATGAACTCCTCTGAATGTATATTATTTCATATATAGGAGAGGCCATCTGTTGGAGAGCTAAAACTTGTTCCAAACTGAGTCAGATTCAGATTCAATGAACACCACCAGTACATCCATAAGCAAATGCATAAAAAAGCTGTGGTAGGACCAATCTCTGACAATGACGAGAAAGGCAGGAAATGGAAAAACTGGAGGATGAGTGTGAAGAGAACAACCTCTGTGTGAATGTGGATAAAACTAAAGAAACAATCATGGACTTCAGAAGAGCCACCAGAACTTATCAGTGGTGGAGCTGAGGTGCAAGTTGTTCCCTTATTCGAGTACTTGGGGGTTGCACATCAAGTGTAAGCTCACCTGGGACACAAACTGCATCAGCTTGGTAAAGAAAGCCCACCGATGTCTGCACTTCCTAAGGAGGCTCAACTGAAGTCTGTGGTAAAGTCTGCGCASAAGATCCCTGGGTGCTGCCTTAGAGCAGTCAATGATATCTACATCAGGAGGTGCAGAGGCAGAGCTGCTAAAATCATGAATGACTCTACTCATCCTGCTCATAAATTGCTTGTCSCCCTACCTTCATCATGCAGGAAACTGAAGCATCAAAGCCAGATCAACAAGAATGAGGACCAGCTTCTTTCCAGAAACCGTCAGGCACAGGAGCTCTTTTTTAAACTAGTTGAATGAATATGCATCATGTTGTATGTTGCAATACATTTCATATGCAATTCCCTTTGTAATTTTTACTATTTTTAACATTATTTTTTGTATATTTTATAGTTTATCTATTRTTGATCTGTGTTTTAGTTTTAACCACTGACAACTGATACCTCTGTATTTATCTTTCATTACTCATGTACTCATCTGGAATGACAATAAAACTCCAAACATTCAAAAATCCAAGGTGGTTCAAAGTCCAGACCTCAATCGGACTGAAACGTTGTGCTGAAACTAATGTCTGCAAACCTCAATGAACTGAATCAACTTTATAAAGAAGAGTAAGTCAAAGTTTCAGCACAACCACGTGAGAGACTTATGAAGACAAGAAATCAAGTACTACAAAAACATATCCAGAGTGTTGCTTTGACTCATTCATGCATGTTAGRAAAACCCTTCAAAACCTCCTGTGGTAGCCTTGTGGGGCTACCTGAATGCTTGCTGGAACAAAGCACCGCCTATTTACACAAAGCTCCTCCCTGGAGATCAGTTCGCAGCCGAGCTCCCACCCTACAGAGCACCCCTCCCCCGAAGCACTGCTGTGRAGACGTGCTGAAGTGGAAGTGTTGGAAACAGTAGGAGGTTCTTAAAGAGACAGAGGCCAATTTCAAGGCAATTAGATAGATGCTAAGTCTAATTTATTTATGACATATAACTGAAGGTGGCACAGTTACTTGATTGTGGTATAGAATTGAACTATGTGCCTGGAAAATACATATTAGGTAGAAAACAACACAGCTGAGTTTGCCTGTTTTGTTTTATTTTCATATCAATAAATTAAATAATCTAAATACAATTTTTGTTAAATAACTGATAACRGTCCTTTCTGCATCCAGAGTTGAGTGTTGGAGTTTCTTCCTTCATACATATTTTCCATGCTGTTTGTTCTTCCTGGTTTTCCCATTTCTCCTCAACCTGCAAAAGAAACATTTAGATTAGGAAAAAAAACACCAACATATCAGTAATTCTGACTTCATGTTACATAATAAAACCCATTTGAGTTTTTGTGGAAACCAAAAATAACAGAAAAACCACAAAGGGACACAGGAAGGCACATAGGTGCAGAAAGCAGAAGTGTTTACAAAACTGTYTCGCAGAGAGTCGGTAAGGTGAGAGCTCTCTGGCTGGATGAGGGTCATGTGACGGGCAGTAAGTGGGAAAACATTGTGGTGAATATCCCATATTGCACCACTGAGAGGCACCAACCTGACATGGCTCCACTCACTCCATTCTGAGTCGCAGAGAGCATCCTTTGCTCGAACACAAACAGCTTTCACCTTGTTCTTCACTTTGAATTGRCAAATGTCTGTAGAGTGGACTGTTACAGGCTAGAAAAACAAAAAAACAAAAAGCAATCTATCTGCAAGTTTGCACAAAACTTGTGTTTTATTATAAATAATGCCAAATTTTGAACAWTTTTATTTTGATGCTGGTCTGATTTAGTTTTTTTCTCTTACTTGTAGTCTAGAAACTGTTTTTACCTTGGATGGTTTTGAGYCCACGCATGGGTTTTCACATTTCCTACATCGTCCTTTGACCTGGRAAATTTGGAACGTGAGAGGAAAGTAGGAGTAGGGTGTGTTCCAGGAGCTCGGGTAACTCCACTCCACCACCGTTGTATTGGCTTTATTGATCCTCACTTTGTCAGGTTTCACTGCAGAAAAAACACAAAGTGAGCTAAAACCCGTATATCTATAAGTGTAAGGTGGAATCAACTTTCCGCAAAGGTGGTCTCACCTATTTCTGACAGGAAGAAGAGCTTAGAGTAAATCTCCAACAGAAAGTGGTCGGTCCTCACGTAGACCGTCAGCTGGATCTGCTGGCTCTCCTCAGCAAATGGGCAGTGCTGCTTGTCCTGGCAGGAAACCCCATTCCCACTGTCATCCACCGTGCAGCTGAAGTTCCCGCGAGCTGAGGCGCACACCCAGTGTTGGTCACGGGCATCCACAGAGCACTGGATGTTGTTGTCATCAGAAACACTGAGAGAACGATGGCACAAAAACAACAACAACAACAACAATTCAGATGCACTGAACAAGTGAAGCAGCATAAAACAACAAAAAGTTTGCGAGCTTACCGTCGAGCTTTGATGAATGCCACTTTGCCAACTCKACTGCTGTGCCACGTCCAAGAGCAGTGGAACTCTCCGTTGTAATTTTGAGTGGAGCATTTCAGATATTCTTCTAAAGAGAAAAGCCAAAGAATACGAGATAAATTAGTTGCAAAACCAGTTCAATAAAACACCAGGAGTCTTTGAACAAGTCTGCACCTTTCTCAGATTTCACTAGAATTCTCCTCCTACTGTTGTCGTCCTGCAGAATTAGGACCTCAGTGTGGTTGAGGAGGGTTCCGTCCCGGTTGTGGCAAGTGTAGCTGCCCCCTCCCAGGCTCTCCACTACCCGCACCATGTAGGTGTTGCCCCTCTGTGTCTCTTCCACTCCGTTCCTCCGCCAAAAGATTTCTTGTGTGTGATTGCCACTCTTGAGAAGATCATCTGCTAGACAGTTTATTGGGTGTTGACCCAAAGTGYCATCCACGTTCAGCACCAGAACTAAAAGGAGACAAACTCATGATGAGACACGATGTGAYGCCTTCACATTTAGAACTGTATTATCAGAAAACATCTGAAAAAGTCTAAGAGGCAATGAGCAGGGCACAAAAAGTAAGAACATTTGTGTTTGGTATATTATTTCTTTGTTGTAACACTTCTTGGCAATAATTTTTTTTTACCATTGGTAAGGTTGTTAATTTCCCTTTTAAATTGCACCACATTTGTAAGGAACATGCATTCTTGGGATGAGCAGTAGAGTATAAAGGGTGAGCACAAGAAACAATTGTGACCATTGCCAATTTATTTTGATGTAGCTGTTAGTCAGGTATAAGATTTATTGCCAAGAAGTGTTGTTGCAAGAAAGAAAAAAATCTACCAAACACAAATTCATTTTTTTGAGTGCTAAATACTGTATATACAAACCAAGACCCTTGCATTATGG